GACACTGACAGGATGTTTCAATTTTCAAGTAAGTTTCTTTCCTACTTCAAATAAAAAAAATTCAAAGTAAATTTTTAATTGTGTTATTCTCGGCACTTAAGACGAAACATTAAAATTTGTAGTAAAAAAGATTTTATTAATGACTCCTTGCCAAGCTATTGGCTTCGGCGTCGGGGGTCGTGGGTTCGATTCCCACACGGGACAACTATTTGTGTGACCCACAGATACTTGTTCCGCTGGGTGTATGTCCGTGTGAAATTTATGTTTGTAAAACGTCCTTACAACACAGGATCAACAAAAAAAATCTTCATCGTTTTTCGCATTCCAAGCATAGCTTGGTGTATTTATTCTTCCATCCTTTACAGCATATAAACAATATCTGGTGTCGGGAGGTGACGACCCCATCGCCCATTGGTGTAACCTGTGTGGGATAACCTTGTGACAGAGATTATTCCACCAGTGCAGTCAGTCAACCCAACTAGTGGTAGTGCCATGCTGCGCACCTTCGGGTAGCAGCCGAATTGGGCCGACACGCCCGAGGAAGAACCACTCTCTCACTAGAAACCGACGTCAAGTGGCAGCTATGCTGTCGCGTTTCGTTTGGTCTGTAAGAGTCCCGGACGCCCTCTCCCCATTCCTCCCCCATAATGTCTGTGCGAAATTTAAATTTTCTACCCCAGGAGGGTACCACTAGCATACAGCGCGGTGGAAAATCCCTCTCTGGACGTCCACGCGCAGGCCGTACAACGTCTGAGCGTGAACGCCCAGGCTGCCCTTCGTATTCAGGGGGGGAGGACAATTTTGCGCTCTCTACACCTGCTCGGGGCAAACGGAGCAGGCAACATAAGGCCACCCCTACCTCGCATGCCGTGGACTTTTGCAACATAAGGGGGCTAAATCCCAACTTAAACGCAGTCCACTTCCATCTTGAGACGGCGAAGCCGGCCTTGCTCTTCCTTACCGAGACAAAGATATCTTCCCCAGCTGATACCTCATTCCTCTCCTACCCGGGGTACAAACTGAAACATTCCTTTCTGCCTCGGGTTGGGGTGTGCGTGTACGTCAGAGAGGTTATATGCTCTCGTCGCCTCGACACTCTTTTTGTCCTACCCATGGGGGCAGATTTGCTTCTCGCCGGATGACCCAGACGTCGTTGCTGACTCAGTGACTGATGTGGTGCTTCAAGGTATGGAACTCTTTATTCCGTTCTCTGCAGTGCCCATTGGTGGCAAGTCGCAGCCTTGGTTTGGTTGCGCTCCTGTAAGTTGGCATTACGCCGAAAGCGGGATTGCTACCAGGCTTGAGCTAACGCTTCGACGTCAAGTGATGTAAAAACCAGCGCTTTAAAAAAGAAGTATAACTCTGCCTCTAGGTCCTTCAAAAGTGTTATTGCTAAGGCGAAATCGGAACACATTGGCAGATTTGGCGAGAGATTGTCGCGTCTCCCAACGGGAACACGTGCGTTTTGGTCTCTCGCCAAAGCTGTCTTGGGAAATTTCTGTAAGCTTTCTTTTCCACCCCTGCACACGGAGGATGACTCGCTGGCCCATGCCGCGAAGGACAAAGCCGATCTTCTGGGCTCTCTCTTCGCGTCCAACTCGACTTTGGATGACCGAGGAAAATTACCATCAACAATCCCGCGTTGCGATGCTACGATGCCGGTGGTTCAATTTCGGCAAAGTGCAGTTCGCAGAGCACTCTTTTCCTTGGACATTCATAAGTCGAGTGGGCCCGATGGCATCCCTCCGATCGTGTTGAAGACATGTGCTCCGGAGTTGGCACCGGTTTTGACGCGTCTTTACCGGCTCTCCTATACTCTAGGCGTATTCCCGAAATCCTGGAAGGCCGCTTTAGTGCACCCGATCCCTAAGAAAGGCAACAGCTCGGATCCGTGCAACTACAGGCCTATAATAATAATGGAGACCATCATTAACTGCCAGCTCCTGCGGTACCTAGAGGAGCACCAGCTGTTTTGCAACCGCCAGTACGGCTTTCGTCGAGGTCGCTCAGCCGGTGATCTTCTAGTTTACCTGACACACAGATGGGCAGAAGCAGTTGAGAGCAAGGGGGAGGCGCTTTGGTGGACGCTCCATGAAGTGACTAGGCTCAAGGGCCCCCGAGAGGGGATCTCAGCTTAGGCTGTTACTCAATACTCGTTTAGCATTCCGATCTCAATCGGTAGCTATTATCTGACTGGAAGAATTTCAAGGTCTAACATTACTACGACTTCGGAAAGCGTTGGCGCTGGGAGAAGAAGTGGCGGAAGAAACTCCAGCGACGCTTCTACCATTAACGGGGGAAAACCATGGTGTGATCTGGTGTGTTTGCGTAATTGTTTTATCCTGTCGATGGCAATAGTCGTCTCATCGTCAGGGAAATCGAGGATGTGTCTTGGTCTGCGCCATTTGCGACAGAACGTACCTAGCGGTAAGGGTCTGTAGGTGACGGCCACTATGACTAACGGATTGGCCCCGAAAATCGCTTGCGCTGTTCCTTTTATAGACCGTTGCAGTGTGCTACTACCCCCCAGTCAGATAATAGCTACCGATCGAGCCGAGGTCCGACCCTCTCGGGCACCCTCGAATCGGAATGCTAAACGCGTGTTGAGTGACAGCCCAAGCCGAGGTCCCCTCTCGGGGAACCTTGAGCCTGATCACTCCATGGAGCGCCCGCCAAAAGTGCTACTACCCTTCTATCTTCCAATAATATATTTTTGTTCATTTTCTTTAAAATAGGTAAATTAACACTAAGTGGATAAAATGTACTCTACCTTATCTTTAAATTTTATAGCGATGAAGTAATTTCAGATCAATTAAAAAAAATGTAATGTTCAATCAGAGAACAAAAAAAATTACTTTTATGAACATCCTATATTTCCGAGTCTATACGTTACAGTTTGACACGAACGAAATTTCTGTTAGATGGAAAGGTTTTTTTAAAATTTACATTTTATTTATAATATCTGTATAGAATCAAAATGATGTGTGTGAAGATAATTTGAATGTGTAATTCAAACTATGAAATATCAGTAGTCGAAAATGAAACAAAGATGACGAACGGATACATACATTTTATGTTCTTCGTTTATCGTTAAATTCTTAGTAATATTGCATTTTTCGATACGTTGTCATTATTTTATGTACTAAATAATAAGAAAAGAAAAAAATACTTACCGTTTTCGATATTTGTTTCACAAAAAACAGTAATTGAAATATATAAATGAAAACATGGAGATATTCGAAATAGTTGTGAAAGAATAAATAGGTTTTTACCAGTAATAATTCTTTTAGCTATCAAAGTGCGGTTCATTCATTCCTTCGCTAATTTCTCGATCGAGTTTCACGGGAAAATTAACTCTATCTAGTCAGCAAATAGCTCACTATTAATCATAAACGATCTGGCGTAGATCTACGTTCCGACAGTCAACGAAAGCACAATTTGGCGATCTGCGTTCCGACAAACCAAAGGTTAATTTCACAAAGTAGTCGTGCCTGGTAGAATATTTCACGACTAGCGCGATGACGTGCACCAGAAAAATACCGCCTATTTGGTGGTTTCTTGTGTTATACGGTTAAACTCATCACCTGCTGATGAGATGATTGATCGTAGTAAACGCTATAAAAGTTCAGAGATGCCACACTTTTTCGCTAGGTCGTTAAACCAAGGCGAGGCGGAGGGAACTTCATCTTGAGGGATCTTGAATTCCGATCGAGACTCTGACAAAGACCTTTGAGAGGTCTTAAAAAGAATAGTCTACATTTTACATGTATATGTTTTCCATTTGTAGAAAAATCTGTGTCGCTGTTTTACCTGTTCATTATAAAATTTAAATAACATTCATTTACTTTTATTTGCCATCATCTTGTCCATTAACTGATATGAACTGTAGCTATTTAAGCGTTTCAAGACCTTGCGCGATTTTTCTTTAAATTTAATGAGTTTACTGTCTAATTGAAGGCCTTTTAGTGAATTTAAATTTAGAATGTATTGCATTAGATTCGCTCGATTACTAAATTGGAGGAGCACGTGAAGTTTAGTCTCGGATTACGGCATTAATTAGGCCCGGCTTTATATGCGTTGAGTCAATATTGTATTTGTTTTTTCGCGACGCAACCCAAAGTCGACAAAAAATTAATTATACTAACATAGAGCTTCTCACATATTAATACACTGGGCCACAAAAATTACGGGCGATTTCTCATGTCATGAGTAGATTATTAAAGCCTATTAATAAATCCTGAAAGAGGGTTCGTGTGTATAAGTTACAGCTTATAAAAAAATCGGATTGGAATTGAACAAGAACATTTTTTTCGCTTTTGTTTTTAATGATATGTCATTATGAACAATTGTATGCAAAATAGACTATCTACTTAGCTGTGAAAGAAACGGACATCGATTTTTAACCGACTTCAAAAGGAGGAGTTTCTCAATTCGATTGTATTTTTTTTATGTTTGTCACCCCAGAACTTTAGACTGAGTGAACAGATTTTGATGATTCTTTTTTTATTTGAAAGCTGGTGCTTCCCGTGTGGTCCCATATTAGTTTGATTGGTATTGGATCTTGGGCTCCGGAGATACTTAGGGAACTCCTGAAAATCAATTATAACATGAATACAGGGCGAGATATTTGCAGTGAGTTTTGTTTTTTGTTAAAAAAAATGGTTATTATTAATTAAAAGCGAGCGCCCGGAGCTGAGCCTTCACGGCTCGTACTTCTACTGCTGAAAGCGAATTCCTCATCAGATGAAGGGCGCCTCACACGATTAAAAAAAATCAAAATCATTTATTCATCGAAATAAGAAAAATACATTTCATTTATCGATAGTATTTTTTTTTATCTACCACTGTTTCGTAATGACGTTCCTCTAACGGAGAAGAAACAGGCGAAAGAAACTCCATAGTTATCCTCTTTTTTTTTTTCAACAAAATTTTTTTCTCAACATTAATTATTTTTTCTCAACAAATTTTATTTTGGAAGATTGGCCTTTGACTCGTCCTAGAGTTGAGCGACGCGAAGCTGGACTCGCCGCAGGGCGTCTGCTGGCTCTCGGGCACCGTGCTAGCCGTCTGCGACACGAACAACCACGCCGTGAGGGCTGTCCATTTGGACGACGGCACCGTTGAGGTGCTCGTCGGCACCGGCGTACAGTCGCCGCCCGGCGATCTTGGTGCGTATCAACTGTCGACATATTCTCGAAAAACTTGGTTAAAATAATAAAATAGGTAGAAAAAAAATATGGATGAAACGTTTTTCGCCGCCGCGGTGATCGAACCCACGTTTACCGGATTAAACGCATAGCTAAGCAATTTGTGCGATACCAATGTATTTGTATTGTGATTGTATTTTGTATATATTTGTATATATTACATATTTGTGAAACCCTATTTAGTAAAGGCATTTGTTGTCGTTTGATTAAAAGAAAATTGGTGAGATTAGTATGAGGCGAATAAAAGGTAAAATATATTTATTATAAATAAGGCTCTCACCTCTCTCTCAGTTACAATGGATAGGTGTGATTCTAACGAGTAAGGCTTGTTATTAAAGTGCAAAGGTATGACACCAAACTTAAATGATGATGACTCAACACATGAAAGAATGTTGGTAGTGACTGCTAAGGTACGTTAGAAGGTTCGTGTTACACTGGTGGTAACAAAAAGTTTTTATAATGTCCTTCATTGACAACTTAAATAGATAGAACAGATAGCCGGTAGGTTTTTTTGGCTGTCGTACCACTTTCGACTAAAGTTTTAAAATCAAATTGATCCGTGACCGTGAACGCTGCAAAGTTCTCGAAAAGTCGGGAATTTGAAAACGGTGAAATCCTTAAATTCGTGCTGTTTAACCACCAAAGCGCCGTTCGGTCTAAGGTGGCAAGTGCTTGGGGCTGCAAGCGCTCTCGTCACCATGGGATCTGGCGCTGTACACCACTCCCGATATGGACATGTCGGTGCGGCCGCAGCCGCCGCCGCCGCCGCCTGGCGCCACCGCTCCGGAGCAGCGCGACGATGCAAAAGGTCAGTGCTATTAAACATTTCTTCTTTCTTTCTTTCATTATTTTCATGACTCCGTGGCGTAGTTGCCAAGGTATTGGCTTCGGCGTCGGGGGTCGTGGGTTCGATTCCCACACTGGACAACTGTTTGTGTGACCTTTTAGGATAGGATAATTTTATCTTAAATAAGGGTAATGTTTTTTAAAAAACAAAAAAATATATATATTAAACCACAGTGCATTACAGTGTACATTTACAGAGAGGGTAACTGATAACGTGTCACTTAAATTATACCCAAAGTGATCTTTATTACGATGTTAAGTTTGTTTTATTTAACAAAAAAACTTTACTCTAATGCGTGGGGTTCAGTGTTTTGGGCCATGTGTATTTGGGAAGACAAGCTTTTTAGTCTGTATGGAGTGTTAAGTCACTATGTGGTAGTGTACTGTCTCCCGAGTAACATTTAATATTAAAGTTTGAAGAGTCAGAGATCAAGTTTTCAAATAACCAATAATCCCATTGCGAAATTTCAAATTGATTTTGGGTGTTATACAAATTCATTAAAACTAACTTTAGTATACTGTCCACGTAATTGTTATTATGTTACAGCAATGGAGAGACTGGCTGAGATTAAAATATATTTTTAAACAGTTGATGATTGTAACAATGAATGTTATGAAATTAATTCCATCCCATTAGGTCAATAATAAGTATGCATAGAGATACTTTAAAGTCCTATAGAATTATTTCTTATCTTTTCCTCTTTTCAGCCTTGGTCCACTAGTACGTGCATTTTCCTATTAAATTATTAATGCACTTTGCGTTGCAACAAACGTACCGAATAACAATTTTCGTTCATGGACATATGTATATTTTTACATACAAATTGCTATAGCCTTGAAAACCTTACTTAACCTTAAAAAATTTAAACTCTTCTTATTGTTGCTCATGTTGAGCTAAATTAATCATGTGTTCTAGAAAAAGACAAGAAAGACGGGAAACGACGCGTGCTTTTAATAGCATGCGCAGGATCACATCAAATTTGGGCGCTCTTCCTTGACAATACGATATGGTGGAAATACAAAAGCTATGCAGAGGGTACGTACATAATTTGGTGTATGTATATCTTTAGAGAGTCGTTGTTAAATAACTTACGGACTTTTTCTAAGTGACTTCATGATCACTCGACGAACTTAGTTTTATTCTCGTAAACACAAGAAATGATTATATTGAAAATTCGTTAAGAAATAAAATATGTAACTAATAACAAATTAACTAATAGAATAGGTAATAATTTTATTTAATAGTTGAAATTCGGTAAGAAAGTTTTCACTGCCAAGTTTAATCTATGAAAGCTAAAAAATATTCATATCTAAGAATGTAATTTAATATGGTCTTCTCCGTCTCATGTCACTGCTGTTATACGAACGATTGAGGGTCCTTGTCGTGTTGTAAAGCCGTGAATTAACACAAATATAACCAGTATTGGTCAAAAGTAACAGGTGCTGGTTGCCAGAGTGCAGTTTCTGGTCAATTTCCATGTATAGGTACTTGTGTGTGCATCGCCGGCTCTGGCGTGGAGGCGGCGCGGAACAGCGCTTACCCGAACACCGCCGCATTCGCACAGCCTTCGGGACTTACCCTTAGAACGGGTGAGTGTGGAATAAAACAGACTATGCATATAGATATATGTACAGATTGTACATATTGTATTATATGTCGTACATTATAATGTAGCCCAATTAAGGTGAGTCACAAGTCAGCCCAATAAAGGTGCCCAATAAAGCCCATAAAAGGTATATACAGCGTGTCGTTACCATCGCGACAATAAATGAACACACGTCTAACGCTACTTGCCAATAATCATAAAAAAAAATATTAACGTTAAAGAAAACCATAATTAAAGAAAATATTTTTCAAACAAACTAATTAAGTAAAAAAGAAATAAAATTTGTAACATCCTATACAACTAAAACTGACTGATTCATACATTCAGAGACTTTTTCATTCGTTGCCACGGCGTCGCATTACAAGGCTCTCCTTCTAACAGTATGTTTTGTCTCGTTTAAATTCATTCAACCCATTCATATGCTTTGTGACGTTTACAAATAACGTTACGTTACAGTTTTATACGTGTAGGGTATACGTAAGGGTGTTCTAAAATTCTTTGTTTTGGAAAATTTAATAAGTCTGTAAATATTGATGTTTAAAGAATGTAAATTTTTGATACAATTTTAAAAAGTTATCCTCTATATGTGTGTTCATTTATTGTCGCGTTTGTAACGACACGTTGTATATAGATCTTAGGAAAATTAAGTTTATGATATTTGTTGCCCTTATTTGTTTTCACATGTTACATATTATTTTTTTACTATTACCTTTTGTGAGGGTAATGCTTGGCGTCATCTAGTGTGCATACTTTACAGTATGCCAATAATTTTCAAATAGCATTTTTAAATGTTATTTTTATTGCTAATCTTTGAAAGTAGATAGATGACGAAATTTTGCGACGCGAGTGGCTTAGTGATTTAGTGATGAATCTGGGCGCGTTATCCGGAAAAATTTCGACCTCTGCAACAAATCCCCATTTTGTATATATGTTTTTTTTGGTGATGTGCTCTTTAAATCAGAAAAATCTGAGCACGATGTGGGTCAACACTTAACGTTGCAACTAACCATTTCAATTCGTGTCAGTGTCAAGCATCTTATTAAGACTTACGCTATGTGACCTGTATAAGGGTGGCTTTTGTCTAGATGTGTATGCTATTGGCAAATGAATAATAAAAAGTCTGAAACTAAAATTAACAGGTTATCTTCTTTGCGTTTGTTAAAGGGCGAAGTAGATTCCTTAGTGTAATGGTAACACATACTGGTTGGTATTCTGTTCATATGAGCGATAAAGAATACGTTATTCGTAATACGAGTATCTAGTATGCATTCATATGTTCATGTATTCACGAATCATACAGGTACGAACCCTGAGATATTTATCGCTGATTCGGAAAGCTCGTCGATACGAAGGCTAGCGCTGTCCACCGGACAGGTGTCGACATTGTGCGGCGGAGATCGGAATCCCTTGGTATGTATTTTATATATATCTTCATGATACATGCAATTACTCACAAACCATTTTTTTGTTACACTTACATACACATATTATATACAGTAAATTTGATATTCTACCTACGATACAATACGATATTATAAAACAATAACTGTAGCGTTATCGATTACAATAATATTATAAATGGAGAAAAAAAATTATTGATGAAACGAGTTATCTCAAGAGTGGTTATAGCTCTTTTCTAATAAATAAAGAAAAATTTAAAGAAATATATTCGGAAAGGCATTAGGATAAGGAGACTCAGCTCACGCAATAGACTCGTGGTTCTCACTGAATGGACCTGGTGGTCATAGCGATGTTTTGTGAACTAACCATCTCTGTGATTTGACAAAGTTTTTTTCTATTGGTTATAACCCCATTGACAGAAAAGAGTATTCCACATTATATATAGACACTTTGGTCTCGGTGACTGGGCTTACTTTACAGAATTTGTTCGCCTTCGGCGACGTTGACGACATCGGGGTAGAGGCAAAGTTCCAGCACCCAATCGGCGTGGCGTTCTGCGAGGTGAACAAGACGCTCTACGTGGCGGACACGTACAACCACAAGATAAAGAAGGTGGAGATAGGGCCGCAGAAGGTGACCACGCTGAACCCGACGATGATCGAGACCACCGACCCGGCGAAGTTCAACGAGCCGTCGGGACTGTCCGCCAGCGCGGACGGCAAGTACCTCTACATAGCGGACACGAACAACCACAGCGTGAAGATCCTCAACCTGGCGAAGAACGTGTGCCAGGAGTTCCGCGTGCGCCTGCCCGACCCCAAGTTCACCGAGCCCGAGAACCTGATACTGTACAAGAACGACCTGTTCGTCAACCGCAAGTGCGGCAACCTGATCATCTACTTCAACGTCAGCCTCGACGCGGAGACGAAGAACGTCAAGTTCACCCCGGGCGCGCCGCAGAACTGGCACGTGTCCATCCGCGACGTGAACAACAAGGACGTGACGCTGGACGACTTCGAGTTCGTGGCCAGCTCGCAGAAGGGCACCAAGCTGCCGGGCCGCGTGGAAATGAAGCTTAAGCACAGGACCGATAGGACCCATTTTCGCCTGTACCTCAGCTTCCAGACGGCGCTCTGCGACGCCACCGTCTGCTTCTCGCACTCGTTCACGATCCGCTCCACCATCCTGGTGCGCGACTCCGTGAAGATGGTCGAGTCGTACAAGATCACGTGCAAAGTCAACCCGATCAACCGGTCCGAGAAGACGGAAACGAGCAAGTCGTAAACGGCCCCGATTTCACGTTACTACGTACTTTTCGCGTACCTTCAAGTGATGTTAAGGATAAACGGTGACATTGCATTATTTCGATTTAGGAAGCGCGTTGTTTTTTTTATCGCCTTGTTTTTATCTTTAAGCTCGTTATGAAAATTCTCTCATAATATATATATATTTGGTGGACTACCTTTGTGTATTATTTTTATTTTCATATTCTATGATTTAGTAGGTGTACTTCCACTGGCTTAGAGGTTTGAACAGACCGTGCCACGATTGCTATGATAAGAAAAGCGACCTCGATATTTATTGCTAGGAAACGTGTTGATTGAAAATTGTTTATTAATGAGATCATGATGATGTTGACCTCAAATGTAATTTTTATCAGTCAAATTTGCTATGCCACAATATCGCCTCTCACCACTGAGTAGGCAAAGACTACTAGGAGATTGCATTTTGCAGCCTTATTGTTATGATTAATGATTTGCCTTTCATAGAAATTGCATATTTTTCTGAGTGGGTGGAGGTAAGAACATATTGTTTTACATAGAAAATGTCATCAATTCTATTAAAATAGATAATACGGGCGAGTATAGAATGTATCAGTCATCATCATCATTAACAGAATTCGCAGTGCTATATTAATTAAGGTAATTTTGATGTATATTAAAAAAAAGTGCACGTAGCTCTGCTACTGTATTGTAGAAGCAGTTTTACATATGTCACACTAAAAGTTTCCGTAACTGGTCTCTCAGAAAAACAATATTAAAAAAGTAATTACAAAATTTAAAAATGGAACTCTTTGGCTGTAGAATGCAGTTTGTTTCATCTGACTGTCAATTGTTTTACATTGTTGCGCCATTTTCAGCATTGTTTGTCTACATTAACATTGATTTAACTGGGGAAAATTTTCGTAGTATGATTTTCTACGTACTTGTGTAATTTCACAGTTCAGCAGAGCCTCGCTCGGCTTCAATCTGCTTTTGGCGATGTAGCTCCGTACCAGACGACTATTTATAGCTGGTTTGCGGAATTCCAGCGCGATCGTGTCAATCTCAGTGATGATCTCGAGATGGTCCACTGCTGTGAACAACAAAAACATCGATGCTGTGCGCCGTATGATCGAAACAGACAGGCATTGTACCTACCTACCATAAGATTCGGGCATCCTTAGACATAGGCATGAGTCAAATACAATAAATCCTACATAAACATTTGGGTGCGAGTTATGCTCAATCTAAGCTATGCTCCCGGTAGATCCCACACAATTTGACCAAGGCTCAAATAACGGACCGCCTCACTTGGTGCAATGCTATGCTTACCAGATTCAAGGAAGGGGCGTCAAATTTGGCGTGGAACATAGTAATAGGTGACATAAACATGGATTTATTGCTACGATCCCAAAACAAAGCAGCAACCGAGCGTATGTGTCTATCAAGATGAGCCGAACTGTAACCAAAGCGGCGCACAATATAAGTGCATCTAAGCGGGCGATTGCTTCTATTTATAATAAAACTATATGGCTATAGTTGCTTTAAAGAATCGTCGTACCGTGAATAGTGACTGGTACACGACCATTTGTTTGCCTAGAGTTATTGACAAACTGCGTAAAAAAACCGTAAACGCCTTATCATCTTGCACCACGACAATGCTAGTTCCCACACAACCAGAGAGGCAAAACAAACTTTTTGAAGGTGAAAAATGTAGAACTTATGAGCCACCCTGCGTACAGACTCGACCTGGCACCTTGTGACTTTTTTCTGTTCCCAAAAATTAAGAACCATATACGCGGTCAAATATTTTCATCACCAAAAGAGGCTGTCGAAGAGTAGGAAAAACACGTTTATGAGGAGTGGCACAAATGTTTTCAAAATTGGTTTATTTTGAGAAACAATAAATTCATTTTTGACCTTTAACAGTATCTTCTCCTTATTGATTCCGGAACCTTTTAGTACGCCCCACGTATAAGCACAAACAAATACTATGGGACGACCTTTTTTTTTTGGTATCGGGGGGGAAATCTTCAAAAGATACCCTATCACTTTACATGACAGGGTTATGTGGGGTTCTTACCCACTAAAACCCCCTCGGTGGCCGCCTTCTGTACATTTGGAGGGACTCCGGGATCTCCCATGGAACGCACCGGTGTCCCTCGGTACTACGCTTGAGCACGCCTCGGAGAAGGATAAACCTTCTCCGATCCCCTCACCCTCTTGCAGCAACACGAGACCAATTCGTGCTGCTGCCCATCCGTGTCCCCTTTTAGTCGCCTTTTACGACAGGCAGGGGATACCTTAGCCCTATTCTATGAGCCCGGGACTACAGGGCTGAACTATGGGACGACCTACGACAGAAGTAACAGTGGCTTTGGAATATTATTCTTTCCAAATATGTATAGCAGTTTTTATTTTATGACAAGATCATTAAGATTATTAATGCAATTTTCAAAAATACAACACAAGGCTTATCGAGTGAATGAACCGAGGTATAATGCCCAATCAAAGGTCAGTTACTAGGTAATGCAGTTACATATCACGACCGACGCATCCGATCGCAAGGTCCTGTACATAATCAAGTGTAAGGTCACAAAATTACGTCAGTGAACTTCAAATGGGAGCAGCGTGATTGTGAACACAGGCTATAAACGCCACTTAGTAACAACGAATGAAACTGATAGTTTTTTTAACATTCTTTTAAATCCCATACACCACTTTTGCAATGTAAAATATTACGCAAGCAGAATTTTTAGTGCCCAAGCAAATTTCTTTAATACTCTTAGACTACGCACTATTTTTGTATAGCAACCGAGGGTCAATATGAAATTGACAAAAACGTAGGTAGTTAAAATTTGCAGTAACGTTAATTTATTACTTCATCACAATTTAAGCTCGTATCGTTTGTTAATGCAAATGACCGAGCGATTCACACGAATGCTCTGAACTTCCACACGCAGAACATATTCATTTCTTTAATAAAGTCGCATTATGATATCGAGGGGTACTTATTTTGCTGTTACTGACCCTATCTCTTATTACATGCACGTGATTAGGACGATTACGATCTCTATGGGTTATAAGTCATTGATCGATGACCTTTTATTCTCACACGAAATGACGACAATTGCCTGAAGCTTTTTGTGAATGTTAATTACGTATGAATGAGTTAGTCGAGAATAATGTTTTAAAATAATCAAATTTTGATTATGGGCGAAGAAACGTGTATCTTTATTTATTCTGCGAAAATATAGCTACCGCCACTGAGATCAGGAGGCGACATTACCTTGTTCACGATCCTTGACCATTTAAACGTTCTCACTAATAATCTCTTCCTTACGCCAATTATGAATTTTGATCGTGCCCCTGCCGAAACAACTTAACGGAATATTACCACCATTGAGGCAAAAAAGTAAATTGGGTTAGTTTATTTTTATATTTATTATCTTATATACAGTTTGTAAGAACATTTAATGAATGTTGTATGATTATTTTGTGTTGATTTCGATACGAGCTAAGGTTGGCGAATTTGAATACTTATTAAAAATAATGGTCATTTTTTATTATACGTTAATAAGATTAGTGTAATTAGATAAATGTGGTATATCGACTACCATGCGGTTTAATTATACGGCAGTTATAATGCTCTAATGCTATGATAACGATTTTTATCAAGTTGCTTCAATTTGCAATCGTTAACAATGACTAGGTACAAAAGTTATATGTTTTATTGTAAAGAGGACGATCGAGATCTTGCACATGTCCGACTTAAAAGTCATTGCGGCAGGTGGCTTGGCATCGTATCTCTTGACCATTTATGGGGAAATAGTACGTTAGGGATTGAATTAATTAAGTCTACAATACTGACACTGGTACTACTGGTAGAGATGAGAAAACTAATTTCCAGTCTTTAAATTTTCATCTTCTATTTAGATTATAGGTGCAGATATAAGATTTTAAACTTACACCATGTATTTTAAATGTATAACTTGTACAGTACAACAAGTAAATAATCGTTACTTGTTGATAAGATGATGGTGAAAGCATGTCCGAGGATAAAAAAAGGTAGTGACGGAAGTCCACAAACTGAGTAACTAATATTGTAGAACGTTACGAAACGGGATGTATGTAGTATAGGCAAGGCAGCTGTTTAACAAAATCATTGTATAGGGTTTGGGAAGAGAGAAAGGCACAAAAAGCAGTAGTAGTTGCAAAATATTCTGAAAACTATAGTAAAAGTTAAGATCTTATTTCAAAGAGACCTTTTGAAACTGAAAAATATTCACCATTTAAAAGTGAGTAACAAATTACAATAACGCCCGGTCTCTGAAACACTGATTGATCATCGTAGACGATCAACTAATCAGCTGTCAAATGTTATTTGAGTTGCCAAAAGGGCTAAGCTCTTTGAATCTGTGTTTCAGAAACCGGGCGATAGTCTTTTGCCTTTTAGTGTTCAAACCCTTAAAAACCAAAAAGCATAAACCACATTGATTTTTAAAATTAAAAAAAAAAACGCTTTTTTAACTAAGCTTTACCCACCAATTCATCCGTATGGATCTTGTACCGTGAATAAACTAAAACTGAAATCTCCATTTACTCATTGGGATTATTAATTTAAAAAATATCTCATAAAATATTTAATTAAAATACTATGTTAAATTAAAATAAAAAGTACCAAATTTTTATATTTCTAATGCCAAACATAGGGGATTTTAATGACAACTTCTTTATTTTTTATTCTTTTTTTAGAGTTTTTGGAAATATTAACAATAGTAGGTTAACATTTCCAAAACCTTTTCATAATATATGTCCCAATATCAGGATTTAGTACTGGCTATTGACGCGGCCAGGGCTGGCAGGGTTCCCGTCCGACCGGGTTCCCGCCTTGACGTGGCGGAGGGGCTTAGTAGCCGTGGCTTGGTCCCCCACGGCGAAGCTAAGAGTAACCCACATTGGGCCGGCCTGTGGTGTAAGGTCGACCCGAGAGGGCCACTCCGAGAGGGCTCTTAGAGCCCACTCTGGATACGTGATGAAGGCTGCAGGGGACAGGTCGGCGGTGTCCCTATCCTTCGCGACTCGCGTCTTACCATGGGCGCGGGGGCATTTCCCCCACGCCAACAAAAAAGGGGCTGGCAGGGTTGCGCAAGTATGCGAAAGCGTTTCTGGCCCTTCCAGTATGCGCCCTGAGTGAAACAATGTGGGGGTTTTAGGCGGTGCCATTCCGAAATAACCCGTCCTTGTCCCCGTTGGGCCGGGTATGCGTATACATTTCCCCCGACATAAATAATAAAAACCTGGCCATTTTAAACTCGTATGCTATTTGTTATATGTTTTAAAGAAACAATCATAATAATTCTTTTCGATTCTGGCTATAAACCCAATACTTTTCAGTAATATTTAAAAAATTCACCAATGGTAGCTGATAAAAAACGTATATGGTTATTGGCATCTCTCATAGATTGTCAAGATGCTAAAATAAAAAGACTAACCTATTGAAATCGCCGTCTGAAAAGTGTTCTATCCGTCGACTGCAGATCTATCAAGGTGCTTAGTAAAAACGCATCAACTTACAGTGAAAAAAGTAAGAATTCATTCCGAAATCATAGAGAGACGATTAAATTTAATTTATTCTAATATGTAGATTACTAATGCACACTCAGAATAAGATAAGTTATTGAAAGGAAAGAATTCAAAATTACATGTTTATGTAAAATAATTCGTATTAACTCGTTCTTTATTTATTCAATTATAATTAAGCTGTTAGTAATTCTCTGTAATGTTCTCAAACAATGTTAATTGTAGAAACGATCTAGCTGTAAACATCGAGGATATGAGTAATATGATATGTAAGAAATGCTTACAAATACATAAATATAGAGGTTATTAATAAGTTGCTTCGCCTGTTCCAATTCAATAAAGTTTATACTGTATGTGTTTATTGACGGTATTGTTTCTATTTTGTGCTTGGTATACTCATCAGGAGCATTGCAATGCTCGTTGCAGATTTATGCCGTAAATATATTCGAGGCAAATCGATGAAACTCACTATTTACTTAACGATTTGCTTTGTTGTACCAGTATTGAATATTGATAAAGGAATTCCATCCTTAAATCATCCTTATTTATATGCTAAATATATACGCCATTTATTTTTAGTTTTTATTCAGAATACATTTAATTGTTCATCGTTAACAATAATAGCTAGAGAAATAATACGTTGCTGTTAATGAACGCGAATTATTTGGGTCCCTAAGGTCATATACGTCACATGACTGTAACTTAGTCACGTCGCATTTCGTTATTTGCTGAGGTCTTTAAATTATTTGTTACGTGTCATATGATCTTCAAGGTGAAGCGAGTCGTCGGAAGATGTGAATCTGTTTACATTATGAATACATATAAGAGAAGGTGCGGTGCATCCAACGGCTACCGCAAACACCTTAGTATTCTAGAACCGCAATATCGTATCGAGCGTTGCTTATTGTGTTGCTCGCTATTAATGCATTTTCACGACGTCAGACATTGTTGTGAATTTCCCACGAACATTTTTTTATTTGCAAACAATAGGCGTAGTTTGGCAATGGATTTCAAGTAAGAAAACAATCACATAACAGTACACCATAGGTCCCTGTATAGAATTGAAATGCAATTTTACAATACGCTATATAAAATATATGTTGTGTTCACAAATAACTTTTGCTATTTTAATTTATGATTTAATATAATACTTATATATACTTGATATAACACTTATATGATATTTTAGTATACTTTTAGTAAAATATTTTTTTAAGGTTCTGTAACCAAAGGGTAAAACGGGGCCCTATTACTAAGACTCCGCCGTCCGTCTGTCACCAGGATGTAGCTCATGAACCGTGTTAGTTACACTGTTGAAACTTTTACAGATGATGTATTTGTGATGCCGCAATAGCAAAAAATCTAAAAAACAGAATAAAAATATTTAAGTCGGGCTCCCATATAGACATGATTGATTTCGCCGTTTTTAGATGATGGTACGGAACTCTTCGTGAGCGAGTCCGACTCGCAGTTGCCCGGTTTTTTATTTTGACATAAATAAAATTAACTTCGACCTCCCTAGGTTTCATTTCACTTCATTGAAAATTAATTATATTTCAACATCCTATATTAATATGCACTGGCTGCTATTCTGCATTGTTGCTGATTGTGTAATGTCTATGCCTTCGTATAATATGATTAGATCACTCTAAGCAATTGTTTACGTAGCAATCTGCAGTCATTGTCCTTTAGTTTTCAGGCGAGCCTATAATGTAATGTTCTGTTTTACCGCAAAGTGTTGTTTTTGTGTTTGGATCACACAATTTTATACGACGCCACAATGAAAAAACAAATGACAATATCACAAATTAAAAGAAAATCCAACAGAGTGCAATTTTGAATACCGTATTTGGATATTTATTTTTTATATTATTGATTGATATTTTATTCATTGTAAGTGTTCAGTTAGAGAAACTTTAAGTACGCCCCACTCATAACTGTCATTAGTGTCAATGCCGAAAATATTAAAATTTTTACATATTTGATCATTTTCGACGTTAGTATTGTAAAAGTATACAAAACTGTACAAAATTGCAAAGCATATTACAGTAAAATGTGTACTTAATTAGACATTTTCTTTTCGTATCCTAATGAATTTTAAAGGAATATCCAGCACTTACAGGTGAACCTGAAAAAAGTTTTGATACTTTTACAGTGCTAGGGTCACACAACAGCTTCTGTTATTGTCCGAATTGGCAGGCTTATCCGGGGACGCGCCGGGGTCGCGAAAGATTGCGTCCACGTGTTCCCGTGTCCCCGGCCGATGTGATAGAGACAGGAGCAACGTGGGTTTTTTAGTGGGTACCCGTTCCTCACCGGGACTCCCACATACCCCTGCCACACTCCCGATCCAGAGGCAGGGGATCGGATAAAGGATTTTTCCCATGAAAAAAAAGGCTTTTCCGGAGAAGTATCACGACCGTCGGCCTTGCAGACGACCGGCGTGATGTGGAAGTACTACACTATTGCATCTCGTTTAGCGACTAATGTAACCGAGGCACGTTATTTCAAAAGTTACCAACGCACTTCCAATCCCACGGAGTTTTGTCTATGAGCCATTGTGTTACTCTTAAAATCAGGTGAACTGCCGATCGTTTCCTGCCATCTCGTATAAAAAAAGTACAATAAATAGATACTGTGAAAAACATTTTATTTCACAATTTGTCTTTAATATTATTTTTCATGGAATTTAATTCTTAATTATTTAAAAGCTTTACCACGCGAAATAAAATTAAAATCCCCTTCCTACCTAAGTGATTCACAGGCATGGCAAAACAATTCGTGCTGGGTTCACTAATACTATTCATATTGTTAATTAACTTAAAACTTGAAGACATTAGAATTTAATTTCATCAATTAAATTAGAATAAGTCATGGCGTTAAACCAAAACCCGTACCCTCAACTCGGATTAATTCTTCACAATAAAACTTCTGGGAATTACATGATTTATAGTATAATCTTTTATAACGGCAAAAAGCTAAACAACGTGATGAACCGGAGATCCGTGATACAAGATCCGCGTGAATTTCCCGAGGCATCTCACATTTACAAGTAACGTATCGTGCCTACTTGCTCGAAATGCATGTTCGGGAGGAACGTGAGCGCTTATCACAAATTTACCGTTTTTTAATGGCTTAAGAATTACAGCATAACTGTTGTTATATAGCCTTACCTTGTGTGCTGTGTATACGTAATGAGTTATAATATTTACATTTGCATAGCATAACACATTTAAACATAATTATATAAAAGAAGTCGTTAGATATACACCAATGATATTCATCACATACTGTGTTTCATATAGATTATAGGTAATAATTGGATATTCTGGAATTATTTCCGGTTGAATTGAAAATATTTGTGGCAAAAATCAATTATTTCCTGAATTAACACACGAACTGAGAAGCTATCCTTCATTAAGACAATTTAACGTCACTATTATGAAGCAATCCCCGCTGTCCTAAAACTTGATTCGCTATGATATTAAAAAAATGTTTGTTTAAACGCAAATTAAACAAGTTCAGGAATTTGTCGACTTCAGGGTCAACATAATAATATTCAGCCAAATAATGATCATAACAATTAGCCATGAGTTGAAAAAGCTTTCTCGAATTTGCAAAGGCTTTGGTACGACTTCATTAAGGAACTTTTTACTAATAAACTACCTTGTGAAAAACTTTCTATTGGTAGCTCAATTTTAGATAGCTAAAGGAAAAGTCAATATAACGATGGTAGTAAATTGGATTAAAGGCGAGCTCCCGGACACTGAACCATCTTTATACAGCGTGTCTTTACAACCGCGACAATAAATGAACACACGTCTAACGCTACTTGCCAATAATCATAAAAAAATAAAAACGTAAAAAAATCCTTAGTAAAAAAAATATTTTTCAAACAAACTAATTAAATAAAAAAGAAACAAAATTTGTAACACTGTACAACTACAACGGACTGATTCATACATTCAGAGACTTTCATTCGTTGCCACAGCGTCGCATTACAAATCTCTCCTTCTAACAGCATGTTTTATCTCTTTTAAATTCATTCAACACATTCATATGCTTTGTGACCTTTACAAATGAACTTTACGTTACAGTTTTATACGTAAGGGTGTTCTAAAATTGTTTGTTTTGAAAAATTTTATAACTCGGTAAATATTGATGATTAAAGAATGTTAATATTTAAAACAATTATAAAAAGTTATTCTATAAAGGATATGTATATCTATATATAAGGATGGTTAAACTCTCTGAATTGATCAGCATGATCTTCTTAATGATTAGAATTGTATTCTTATAGGGTCGTTAAATTGAATAACAGAACTTGCAACACAAACATGGAAAAGAATAGCTGTTGTATATTGTTGTATGTGGGTATAAATATACACGCGCAAAAGTTTCAATGCCTACAAAATTATATAATATTTATACACATATAAATGTGTGTTCATTTATTGTCGCGGTTGTAACGACACGCTGTGTAATATTAACTCAGGAATCGTGATAGCTCATTGTCCGGGTGCTCCTAATTTAAACCTCCTAACAAAGCAATAAGTATTTTGGTTCCTACTAGGTAAGTCCTTATGTTGTTGCGAGATTAGTTTTAATACTTTCTGTATGTTATTGTCTAATTGTTACAACTTTCATAGATATGGGACCATCCTATAAATTTTAAATTCAATTGGATTTATTATTCTCCTTTCCATGTGTCTTCAAATTATTGGAACCGTTAACTGCCAGCTCAGAATTTTCAATATTTGTCACAACTCATAAAAGATTTGCGGGGCTTACGGAGAAGTTTTGTTCAAGAAGTGGAACAAAACTTCTCCGTGAGCCCCGCAATTCCGAGTCATTTACTATATACCTGAAACTAATATAAAAAAGCAGAAGTAGTTACACTTTTCAACAAGTTAATTAACGGAGAAAGTTAGAAGAACCAACATTTAAATTTTACCCCTAATCGAGCTTAAGATACTTAGGAGCTAATAAACGTAAGAAAATTTTCTAATCTCAGTACATTAGCTATCAGGGGCACTAAAAACAAAGCTTTTGTAGTATTTTGCAGCATAGGTGCGTCGACCTGTAAACTTACATCGCCCTGTAAATTGTCAAAATTTTGTATTGACAAAATGTATATTAATTTTTTTTTTAATTAAGAAGTTTGCCACCTTTCTCAAGCTGGCGGTTTACCTCATGTTAATTGATAACCACCGCCCAAAGCCCTACCACAGTTATCAAGTAGTACTTGTGAGATTCACAGAAGCTCGCGGAGTATACTCGTTTGTCAGAACACTGTGAAAACCACCATAAAGTTATTTGTTTACCGCATGTAGCATTAATTTTCATTTTGCCCGGAATTTGTATTGAGCACCACTACTAAGATCTGTTAGCTCTTTACAAATGTCTTATAGCATAATTCACGTAGACATGTTCATAAATTGAATTTACTGGTAATCGCAACTATGAAATAAATTTTACTGTCGTCCGTTGTGTGTTGAATTATGAAATCAATTGTTTATAAATTGAAGTTATGCTTACCATCCATAATGGTTCTAACGTCTTCAGTATAGAAAACAACTTGCAACTAACAACCGCGAAATTACATTAACGTGTATCTGCTTGATAGACGTTAATGTAATTTCGCGATATCGCTTACAGTTTTGGAAAAGGAAAAAGTTTATCTAAAAGTATTGCATGGAAAGCTCCTTAGCTGTAACAAAAAAACCGAGTTTAACTCGCCAACAGTCCCAGTCAAGTAAAATTTGACCAGTTCGTAAATACAAAAATGACAGATTATATGCGAACATGCGCTAGAAATAGTTGAATTACAGATTAGTTGTTCTATGCTTAATTCTACTTAATAAATGTAGGTATAATCACACCTAGTCTTTTGTGGCTGGACTATGTAAGGTCGCTCCAATTTCAAAAACACACCGGTCCTTTGCGTCCGATCGCAGCCAAAGCTATACACTATACATGTGGTTGTTAACGCATCAGGCACGGTCCCCACGAGCGCGAGCGCACGGCTCATCCCCGCTACCACCGCTATAAAAGACGTCGCCCAAACCAGCCTTGCGCTATTACGACAGTGCCTCTGTGATTTTTCCCGCCGTTGTATTTATTTAATTCTTCTTAACAAGGTAAGTGAATTTTATATATAGGGATACAAAGACAACCCATAGCAACGGGATAGGACGGTACGGCTATCTAGATATGAAAGAGTAAAGTTATTTCAGTTCTAAAATCAGATAAACTTTAGCGGTCATTAAGATAAAAATAACACATCCAGCAGTTGTTTACCAACGAATCATCTCCATCAAGCTCACAACTCGTCTCGTACCCAATTAAAATGTCACAATCGCAAGCGATTATTTTAATTATTGTCACTTTCGTTATAAAATCCAGTGAATTAACATGTTAAAGAAAATAATTATAGGAGGATTAGTATGCTTCTTACTTCATAACTCATCACATACCCAATTATAATATCACAATTGCAAGCGATTATTTTACTTATCGATACTTTTGTTATAAAATGTAGTTATAAATTATATGGTATAAAAAATAATAATACGAGGTTTAGTATGCTTCTAATTCAATCGTAAATATTTAGGATGGGTACCATTTAATTACGTTTTGCCAAAAGAGATCGCCGTCATTCGGACAGGTATCGGTGCATTATAGATTTGCGCGATCGCTGTAAGCTTGTCAGTGTCCTTACGATTTGTGCATTTTATTCAAATTGACGGCTGCGGATTACGATGAACGTCGTATGTATGTCAAGCTTTAGTTGCGACACGGACGTTGAGACTATGACTGAGAGCCCTTTTTGTACGGGAACTTTTCGTATGTGCAAACGCGTCATGGGTGCAAAAACAACGCCGATTGGTGTCTCGGTCCTATTTCGGGAAAAGAAAAAAAACTGCTTAAATATTAATATTATAAAATAATAATCACTAGGTGTGATTGCGTCAAGTGGCAAATTCTTCTAGATATCACAAATATTAGCAAATGGAGGAAAATAAACTTCGGTCTAAAGTGTTTTTCATATAAAATTGAAGTAATAATTTTTCATATGGATGATATTATAATGATATGATAACGTGTTTTAATACATTAATGTTTCAAAACTAAACACTGTGAAGGTCGTTCCAGCTGAAAGATATAGACTTTCAAATATTTGATGTGACATAAAAGTTTGAGTTAAGTAAGATTTAAGGTTATTGAATTTAGAACCTGTTCTCGTAGTCAAATGGTAATATTTACTAGCCTTCACCCCATAGTGTCACGCGTCAATATAACTAAAGAACATTTTTTACTTTTTATGAATTCTTGTAGTAGTTCAAACTGGTAGTGTTGTAGAATATAATAATAAAAAAAATTAAGAAATTGTACATAATAGGCGTTATATCTTTAAAAAATCTGTTGTCTATAAGCTATACGTTTTTGATTTTCGCGTTTTATACTTTCAAATTCAAGTATACTTAACATTGAACTGTTTGGAATACTTAGTAAGCTATTAGCTAAGTAATTGCGTTACTGAAATCTCTTTCATGACTACAACAAGACTTAAGAAGTTAAGCATATGTCCATTTGTGATCTTTACTGAACTTGGTTTTTGTTAATAGATTCTTTTTACATAAACTATTTTAGTCGCAGGAAAACAATTATGTTCTTCTTTATTGATGTTTATTTAAAATTTTATAAATTTTTCTAACTTTAATTTTTGATAGTAAATTTTAAAACTTGCATTCAAGTATATTTGCATTCATATCGGAAGCTTTCAGCACAAAAAAATATAAAGCTACAAATTATCTTAAACTGACTTTAACTAACATTAATTCAAAGTTGATTAACAGGTCATTTATATTCACATCTAGTCAAGAGTTTCTTTTCTGAAACAAAAAAAATGTTTGGCGCTTGTTGTAATCAATTTTTTTATGAATCCAAAGAGTTCTCGATAACAGTATCATGTATAAGTAAACATTGAAATAATAAGGACTATATGCTCCCATGTCATTCGATGCGTTACAAACCCAATTGACGGCGTCGCGTCGGACAGGCGGTTGCATCAGCGGGCTCGACGCATCGGCATTATGTATCTGTGTCAACGGACCCCACGGGTACGCTGGTCGCGAGACCACCTTAAAGAATTCGCCAGACTCGGACTGTCTTACGAGAATGATTAATTTAATAAACAACGGAAGTCGATGAATCGCTAGGCTATTGATGCTGTTACAACAATTGATTAGTATCGAACTCATTCCATGTAATTGTACACTGCATTGCAATAGACATTTGAAAATATTATTCTGTATTTAAAATTAAATGTATGTAACAAAAATATAATAACGCTTGCGTAAGCACGCAATTAACACATAGTTATTGTTTAAATTGGGCTTTAATAGTTTATGATTTCGTTACGTAGCCTTTTTGAATATTTAGTAGTAAAAGATATTTATGAAGCAACTAGCAAGGGGTAATTTCCACCTGAACTATTTATTTTGATAATAAAGATAAGTGACTATTTATTTTAAACGCGATAATATCATTTAAACATGTATTTATTAAAATTGTTTATTTTTCATAAATACTAATAATTTCTTAAGTTTATTTTTATGCTATACAGGAGATAAAAAAATCTAGATTTAATTAAACGTTTTCTATTCTTCTACGAACAAAAAATGCGAATGTGCTATTCACTTATTATTTTAATACTATTCCATTTGCTATTTTACTTGTCTAATCCGTCCGCCGCATAAGGATTTTTATCATTAGGTATTTTGTAATAATTACTTTTTTTTACGCGAACGTTAAATTAAATTAAAATAATTGTAACATTCTAACCAGTACATCAGATTTAATAGAATACAGATCCTTGCATGAAAAAATGCTGATTCCTACCAAGGATGTAAGTAGGTACCTTAAAATATGTCCAAAATAGAATAGAGAAGAGATTTGGATGCTACGGTCTGCTTCAAATCCCTATAATTAATAAAATGTAATCCAGACTACTCTACTACACTAAGGCCCAAGATTAAAGTAACTTAACTACATGCAACCGGCACAAAATTAATAACTTTTAATAATGACGGTGGTAGCCCGGGTTAAAAGTTACATTGGGGTGTCTCACGCCCCAGTCCTTCCCGTGATCATGAATACTGTGAGGCACTCGAAACAAAGGGAATTTAAGCTTATAATAACCACGATAGAATCTTGAAAAATAGTTTCATTTAATAATAGACATTTTATTTTGTAGTCAATAAATAATATTCAGCATTATCTTAATACTAGCTTTTCACCCGCGGATTCGCTCGCGTTGTACCTTTAAATAAATATCTATCTTTAAAATATACACATATTTTAAAGTTTTTCCAATTAAAAATTACTTTTGCCTTTGTCCTTTCTCAGGCTCTCGACTATCTGACCAAAATTCATTTAAATCGGTTTAGTAGTTTTGGCGTTAATGCGAAACAGACAGACAGAGTTACTTTCGCATTTATAATATTAGTATAGATAAGAGATGAAATGCACCAAGCTTTATTGGCACCATGCACCGTGCCGCGTGAGCTATGTTTGCTTGATAATCTTTAATTTATTACTTTTATATTTAATTTTATATTTGCCTTTATAATTATTTTATTTAAATTTATACTATTATTATTAAATATATAACATATATACGTATAATTATAACACCTCATTGACGTTTTTATTATTTTTGTTGTGGAATAAAAGTGAGACCATTATTACTTCATCGTAACCATTATTATCATACGATTCTAAAGAAGACCCCAAGAACACTTGTCTCATTTATGGCAAAGCTCATTTTGAGGGACTCGCTGTCAATTATATAAAAGGTGCCAAGTATATGTAAGTAGTATGATAAAAATTCAAAAACTAATAATATGATCTTGAAACTTATTTTTATAATGCTACATTCTATAAGAACTTTTAAATGACTTCAATATATTGATTATAAATATATTCTTTAATAAATATTATATGTAATAAATATGATATTCGATCTCGATCCGATATTTCAAAAATAAAGCCATAATTTATATAAATGTGTGGAAGTCGCTATGATTTAAAAGTATCTATTAACGATAACAACGAAAAATAACTCTAGCGGATACCAATAAACAATATGAAAACAATGCGGTGTTGATTTATATGCGAAAACATTATTAAACGAAACTAGTTTTAAGGATTTTTTGCCTGAGTCCGTCCCGGTGCGTAACAATGCTTCGAATTATTCGAAACCAAGAGGATTTAAGTTTCATGTAAACGCGATAAAGTTTTTTAAAAATAGTCGCATTTAATGGCTCGCGAATACTTTACGATATAGTGGACGAAACAACGATATTATTTATGGCACTAGGTAATCCCTGTCCGATCGCCGAAATGACGCTAACGCAGTGGCCGGACAAATGGCGGATTGCGCAACAGTTCAAGGCTGTCACGGAGGGTTCTAAGATTCATAACTTGCCAGACCGGCGAACACACGTGATAGTAAATACGTTTTCGTTTGTCATAATTGCCGGATGGTGTAGCCACAAGAACCCTGTACGAACTTATGATTTAATAGCATGACAGCTGTTTAAGCCTATATAATATATATAAATATTGACGTTAATTGAATATTTTTTGTGGATGTTTCGGTACATACCGTTTGTTTTATGATAGATTTAAAATATATACATATATTATACAGTCTAATAGTTTGAATAATAATTTAATTTCAGAAAGTCAATATTTTATTACTAATAAATGTAATTTTAAAACATAACAGTAAGAATCATCGTCATCATCATCAGTCTATTAGAATCCGCTGCTAAACATAGGCCTCTTCCACAGACTATATAAGTAAAATAATAAAACAGTAATATGAAGACAGACGCAAAATATAAAACATACTTATTTAACTATATAACATATTAAGAAACAAAAACATTTAAGTTTTGAGATTTCAGCTTTCCGAAAGTCTTTATTTAAGTATAAAATGTTATATTCATCTAAAACAGATGTTACTTCAACATGTGTTTGTTACGTTACATACACTTTCACTCTTTGTTTTCATTAAATCAGCTGCGGTAGTAACAACCATGAGCTGTTTCATTTATGTACGTTACATGTTACTCAAGAGTCGCGAATAAATTTGTAGAGTTCTCTAAAAGATATAATTTTTGGAGAACACTCGGAATTAACCAATTGTAAAATTAAGGTATATCCTTCTACGCTTTACTATGAAAAGCTTACATGTTTCTATTTGAACAATATATGGACGATTAATACTTATTTTAACCTTTTTACATTTTTCTATTTGAAGGCCCGTGGGTGCGTTTATCTTGTGACGCGTTGAAGTCTTTTATATACGCGTTAATTTTTGGTTGTATCAGTTGGTGTTGTTTTATAAATATACACATAAAATCAATAAGCTAGTCATACATTAGTAAGTTATACTTGGTATCATTACTGGTTGGTATCATAAGTGGTTGTCGGCCTATAGTAATTTATCCTCTTGCGATGTGGGCTTAGTTTTGCAATAGGCCGCAATTAATCTTTATATCGCAATAAGAGCTAACAGAGCCTCATTTGCTTGTATATTTAAGATTTAAATGCTAATACTTATATTTCTATTTATTTTCTTCAAGTTATGTTTTTATTCGCATTATTTTTTGTAATTGTATACATACATATTTAATTAATTAATTGTTACAAAATACTGTATGTTAAATTTAAATTCGTAAAACAAAAATATGTATTGAACATATAGTAAAAAAGAAATAAAAATAATATTAAAATAAAAAGTTTTTGCGGTTTGTATTGTATTGTATTTTTCATGTTGGTGCATTTTCAGTAAATGCAAAATGGACATAGTATTTTGAAACAACCGTTTTATAAATCTATTAATTATTAATTGGGTGGACAGATACTTTTAGCTTTTGAAGATTCATTTACATCCTGAATCAAGCAGTCATCCTTACTAATATTATAAAGGCGAAATTTTGTATATATGGATGGATGTTTGTTATCCTTTCACGCAAATACTACTGAATGGATTTTAATGAAACTTTAAAATAATATACCTTAAACATCAGAATAAGACATAGGCTATAATTTATATAAATATTTTAAGTATATCTGTCTTTCTGTCTGAATGTTACGCCTTCAGCCTATTCTACGCAGACGTAGTTGCGCGCAGCAGCTAGTCTTAAAATATTTTATTTCTATCTATTTCATTAGTATCGATTGACTTATATTTGTGGCCACTTATAAATATGTAAGATAGGCCATGAAATCAAATAATGTTTATGTAAATAATCTGATGTTATTGAGCGAGAAACATTGAACTTGAGGCCTGTCGAGGCAATGGAAACATCGTCGTGCTAATTGATTTGTTACTTGCGCGCATTCAACAGCTCTACGAAGATTTATTGATAAAATAATTTATAATTTATACAAATGAGGCACACAATACAAACGGAGCTTGTTTACAAAGTAAGAATTCATAACAGTAAGCTTATTTTGCACATTGATAACGTCATTATTTTCTATGGCTATTTAATATTTTATATATTGTTGAAATTTAGGTAATATTATAATAGGCGTTTCTTTATTATAATGTCGAATGAAATTTGTCTGGTATTCACTAAGTAAAAAATTATATAAAATAGTATCCTTTGACATAACTATCAAAGGATGCAATTTTTAGTTACGGTTTCGTTGAGTGGACAAACAAAATTATAAAGAAAAATTCTTTTCAGCAGACAGTGTCGACTGCCAACATAGACAAGGCAATCATAAGTCCTAGTATGAAAATAGTAAGACAGTTTTCTCGCTTAACATCTAAAATCGAACCTAAAACTCAAGGTTATTCAGTTCCTGCAGCGAAACCACAAGATCTTCAAAATTAAACGATCCGATATTACGCAAACAATGACAATAAAAGTTTCACTCGGCTATGGTGGCGTAAACAGTGTTACATGCTGCGAGTAAATAGTGATTTAAGAACTCGAGCGGAATAAAAAACATGTACGCGCTTACTAAGCTTTTACGAAGAACGGTGTCAATACTAAAGAAAATACCGATATCATGGATTATTCTGTTATATTTACATTCTCAGAAGCAATTTAATGATTTTCCACACCACGATCGAATTATTTGGTGAAACTATTTATAATATACAAATAATGTCTTTAAGTATTTTGAAATTTTTTTATTCAAATATAAAATACCACATACAAGTGTGCATTTTTCTAAAATATAGTTTTTAAAATAATAAGATGTATTTTAATTTTGTTATATAAAATTTATAACATTTATAATATAATTATACATTTTTCGTTTATTTCATAAACCGATTATTCTCCCTTTATAAACAACAGCACATCCCAATGTATATTTAATATTTCTTTATAAAATCGTATCACTTCTCTCAGTGATTTCTCACGGCTAAGTCATTGTTTAGTAATGAAGCCATTTCTGATATTGAATTACAAAAAAGACCGAAATTTCTCACGAGCGTCAGCGTTGAGCGTGCAATCGTTATTTTTCGACGAAAAACCTTCTGGGTTAAGAGGATAGATTAATTTAGCAGCATTCGCCGCACGGGTAGGTACCGCCACCCATGGACATTAACACCCGGAGGGTAGCAGATGCGTTGCCACATTTTAATTAAGTGGGCACCAGCTACCTCACTGACTAGACGAAACACAGAAGTATAATAATTCTACTTCACGCCGGTCTTCTCTGAGGTCGTGGTACTTACCCGGACGGACCTGCCCATTCGTGCAACAGATAAGACTGCTGCGCTGCCCTACCGCAGTTAAACAGGGTAGCGTTTAATTTAGCAGCATTCGCCACATACCTCTCCAATAGTACCATAGCGTGAATCCGACGCCGAAGGTAATTAGAACGTTCGGGGTTTGGCAAGCCATCGGTTTTAGCGCAAAGAGCAGTGCTCACGACGATTCGGGATCGTGACCGAAACCGGCGGACGTTCGGCCTCGGCGCTTGCGACATCCCCGTGGAAACACAATGCGTCGGACTGAATTCACTATTGAGACATATACTCCACTCCATTCAGTTGTGGCTAATGGCCCAATAGCCTCAGAGTACGGTCCGCGATACACAAGGTCGTGGGATCAGATTCGCCACACGATTCTATTGTAGTACCATCTCCTTGCGCAACAAACAATTTCAGTAACAATTTATAAAACATACCACGGATTCTTTTGAACGAAAATTTATAAGTTCTTAATACATAGGTATATATACATGTCTATAGGTTTAAAAATACCACCGGCGTTATTTAGTAGTTTGAGCTAGAGAACAACGAACATATTATAGATAATTCAATTATTGATTTTTTTGCAATATCTGATCACTAATAATTATTCTATTTCAAAAATATGGTTACCGCGTAATTAAAATCCCATAAAGAATTGTAAAAGTGACCTTGTTCTATTATCATGTATATCTTCGTCGTATTACTTTGGAATAAACATCTTAGACGTAAGTATGTAGTTCGCCATGTTGCAATTAGCGCAAAATAGAGAACTGTGTCACGGTGGCGTCATCGCAGTAGTCCGGCAATGTTGTACTTGTTCGTAACAACAATAAAATACATACATTTATTATTCTTCTATCTTATAAATATCAGTTTTATTACAAAGCAAATCAATGTTTTGTTTATTGCTGTTACCTGGCGACTTTAAGAATCGTAGGACGTCTTTATTAGAAAAGTTTAAAAGTAACGTAGGACTACGAACACTCTATTGGATTTGCGTGCGTGTGCGAATACGATATTTAAGCAACAATCTTAAGACCAAGCGAAGCAATTTGATGGGCGTAACTATATCACTTTAATACTAAAGCTACAATCCACGAAGCTTATGATTACAAACCTATAAACCGCGTAATTCTGACTTCGATCGATTAAGATGTGCTTCTTTCGTCATGCATATGTAAATGAGGCGATCTTATAATCTATTAACAATTTGCATCCACAATTACCCTCTGGCAGTTTTTACATCAACGGTGTACCAGATAAACGTGTCAAGGTCAAACATACTGACTCCCACGATTATCCGCTTAGTGACAGACAATCAGTTTCCGGGTTTTTGTGTTTGTGTGCCACTATTGTATACTCACGCGTAAGCAATTATAATTAGCTTAACTTGTTAAGGATTACGCGCAAAATGCTGCCATCATACGTCTATACTTAAATCATCGACAGATTTCGATTAAGTGAGAAGGGATTACATATAGGTACATTTATAATTTCTGTGACGGTAAAACACGTGACACCAGAAAAATACTACAGTTCGTATGCGTAAAGATTGAAATACGAAAAAATTAATAAATGAACGTTTCCTCACGTTCTTGCGGCTGACTTGTGACACAGCTCAACATTTACGGTTGCGTGTAAATTGGGTCATATTCGTCTCCAAGACGAACCATGAGACATGCAAGTGCTTGCATAATAATGCAACTTCGACGGCGCCACCTACCCAATATGACACTAGGTTCTGTAATTAATTGTTCTTGACGTCAAAAAATCTGCACTATGTAGCGTATCTGCTGACGGCAAAAAAACCAATTTTTAGAAAAAATAACCGTTGGATGTGCTTTAATAGAACTGAAATATGGTGAATCGCAAAACATTTAACTTTAAAGTAGCAAAGTAACATTTTTAATCTCAATCCACATTATTTCAATATACTAAAGACAGATTCTTTTATTGAAATATTTTGTAATTATCTGCCTGCGAGTTTCACGACAGGTTCTGCTACGCTCGAAAGTGATAGTATTCAAAGTTAATTATATTTAAGGTCTTGAATATTTGTCAAGGACACAACAGTTTTTTTTATATATATATTCTTATGCATTAATCAGAAACATATTTCAATATTTTTAAAATTACTTCTTACTATCGTCTCCTAGTAATAAAGTTTTTCAGATTATTATCTATAAAACAATCTGATTTGAATAACTATATATCATTAGTGATTTGATTTGAAAAAAAATTCAATAGTTTAGTATAGTCATAGTTTAGTGATTATGTACGTATTTTCACATTAATTCGGTGCTGGTATTACAGATGCAGACGTGGGTGCTGGTGGTTTGTGCAGCCGCTCTCGCGGCTCTGACTGCCGCCCAAAAACCAGGGCGTTTTCTGTCACTGCCCGTACCGCAGAAGTGCGCCAGCAGTAAGTCCCGTTCCATTGAAAGCGTTCAAGTTACATCGCACAGATTAAATATAGTGAATAGGGTTGAATCAGAATATAATATATAGTTAGTCCTCTTAAAACAACGAACTCCCAAACCGGCCGTTAGGGAATTTGATGTGTTGAGATCTGAATAATTTAAATTTGATGTGTAATTTACTGCGCGCTACTTCTGGAAACGTTTACGCGAAAACTTTGTAGTCGGACGGAAACACAAAATTGACTTTCCTTTTTAATTAACATAATATGTTCATTACAATGCGAACCAGAAACGATTTCCTGGAAAAAAGCAGCAACGACAAATCTGTCTACGGTCAAAGGTCTTATTAACCTTATACCCATTAACGAGTGACCTTAAACTGGCTTGTTAACGAAACAAATCTCACATTATATTGGATTTTGTTTTGCAATCTCCAATATTTCGAGAACTTAGTGACCATTAGAATCGACAGAATCGAATTTCCTAACTTTATAGTTATCCAAATTATTTGAAAGTTGTTTTTAGCTTGAAATCAACACGTATTAATAAAATCTTACTGGGGGTCACATCAAAATATCTTAAATGGCAGTAAGCAGGATACATATCTTAAACTGATTCATGATTGATGTTATATCATATTTTAATGTCATAAAGTATGTAGGCATACATTTTTAAAATAGATTGAGCAAATTAGTAAAATTACTTTATTGAAAATAATAAATAAGCAACATATACTTAAATATATTTTTTAATAAATGTTTTAGGGACAAATTACACAACGTTCTCTAGTGGGACTAGAGAACCTTGTGTAATCTATGCAACGCTTGTACTATGGGTACAAGATAACTGAGAAACATACTTAAACATACTTTTCTTTTGTAAATAGATATATATTACACATTAAAAACATCCAGACACTAGAAAAACAATATGTTCATCACACAATATTTTCCAGTAGTCGATCCCACACCCTCTGGTGAAGGAGGGAGGTACACTACCTACTGCGCCATTCGGGTCGAATTAAAATATTGACTTTCATTGAATTAAAATAATTATTAAGTATTTTTTAGACGTAGTAGAGCCACGCATCGGCTTTTTCCGATGCTAAATTGACTGGCTCAATCTAGGGAAATACCTCGGCCGCACATCAGCAAATTCTGTGAGGATGTTTCATTTCCACGATTTGAGCGGCATGAAGTAAATGTAACCCTGCGCTTTCTGAGCGCAGGCGCTCCGTATTCTTGGGGAGAGAGCAAACTTCCGATTCCCTCAGCTCGAAGCAAACGTATTAGGGCACCTTACGGCCTTTTTTCTGTGGTAGAACGACATAAAAGTTGCTGTCGCTGTTGTACATATAGGCAGGTCCGTCCGGGTAACTACCACGATCTTACACAAGAGCAGCGTGAAGTAAGTGTTTATACTTCTGCCTCTCTGGTCTGTTGAGTGAGGTAGCTGGACATTTGAAGACGCTGCACATCTGCAACCCTATGGGTGTTGCGAATGTCAAATGGCGGTGGTTATCACTTAACATCAGGTGACCCACCACCTCGTGTGCCACCTTCTCACATAAAAAAATCCTTCGCCGTTGAACACTGGTTTCATTGGTCCCGGTACCGGAATTCGTTTTAACGAACACTCGGACACTGAGCTATGATGGCTCAACTCAAAGTTGAGGACGTAGCAGAACCTTTCGATCTGGCTTGGCACAGAGCATTATTTCCAACATTACTATATATGGGTTCCCTGAGAAATTATGTAAAGGTGTCATCAGTTTTCTCAAGGATTGGAGCAACGAGGTCGTTGTAAATGGTGCATGCCCTGACGCCAAACCCGTGAATGCCGGTGTCCCACAAGGTTGTGTACTGCCTCTACTTTGTTTCTTCTGCATATCAATGAGTACTTGCATATATATAGTAGCACCATTCATTCGTATGCGGATGAAATTAAAGGTTACGCTTTATATACCGGCCGGGTAAATCTTAATCAGGAGATACCGATGAGTGTCGGAATAAAATTGTCTCTGCACTCTAAACTTCAGAATTTGTTAGGTAAAGCTGGGAATGGAGCCGAATAAATTAGTAATAGCTGTTTTGAAAGAAAAAACCATTTGTCGTGTCTCCGATTATTGACTCGTGCACTTCCCTTGTTTCCATAAACTCGATTGGAATTCATGAAATTTACCTATCAAGCAGCGTTTAATTTCGCTTTCACTTGAAACCGAAAGCCAAGTAGGCTTTGAAAAAACTTGGGACATAGGCTATAATTTATATACATATTTTATGTATATCTGTCTTTCTGTCTCAATGTTCCACCGTCAGCTTATTCTACGCGAGGTAGTCGCGGGCAGCAGCTAGTTAAATATAAAACAGCTGTATCTTGTTTTGATTAAGCCGCAGAGGACACGTTTACACTTTACGACAAAGAAAGCATTTTTAATTTTGTTGTTTTGTAGTCTGTTTATTCGTTGAAAGTAAAAGTTTCCACAAGTCGTTGGACAGCAAGGCCAAGGACATTATCGAAGTTTTTCGTCTCGCTCTTTTATTCGTCTTCTTTCTCTCCCACGCGGAAGCCCTCGACATGTGCCACACTCAGGGAAAACGAATTTCGGTGTAATTCTTATATAACCGAATATCGAAATTTCGATATTACCTATGTAGACCAAAGTTAACGTTGATAAATTTTTATTAAACAGTTAGGTTAAAATCAATACAAATGAACTTTCATATAATCATAAACATTATTGTTAATGCAAAAAATATAAGTTATAAACATTTTTACAGCATATTAATACCTACCTATATTATAAATTTCAACAAAATGTTCACGGAGCCTTGATAATATTATGTATTTATAACCTATCTTCTGGATTTAACAAGAGCATTTTATCAAAAGGATCAATAATGTAGTGTACACCCGTTTAAGTTTTGCGCAATCGTCTATATAATCCATATTGAAAAAATAAAATATTTCGTAATCATGTTCAATGACATGCGGTGATCGGAAACTTGACTTTTAATGAGAAGATAATAGTCATTTAGTAGACGGTCACCGTTGCACAAGAGATATTCGGGACGGAGAAATTTAATGGATAACGCAATATACATTAACAGAGATTTGTGCGTCTCGAAACGTAACTGATCGACACGTCATTCTATTATTAATTAGATTCAAGGAACATGGAACAAAAAAATTTAGAATAGAATTTTAAATTTCACAAATATACATAATAATAGCTAATATACATAATGATAGCTCTATACATAATACTCTTAGTAAAATTTTTGAAAAAATCATGTTGAATCAAATGTTACAGCATTTTAGCTCTCATAATTTATTACATAACAAGCAATATGGGTTTACTAGGGGTCGCTCAACAACTGATGCGGGTGTTCAGCTCGTTATGAATATTTTTGAAGCCTGGGAAAAGTCGCAGGATGCCTTAGGAATATTCTGTGACTTAACCAAAGCTTTCGATTGTGTACAGCATGAGACCTTGGTCAGGAAACTACGCCACTATGGTATAAGAGATGCCGCACTCAATCTTCTGAAATCGTACTTGAGCCATCGAATTCAGAGAGTTGACGTGAATGGCAAGAGATCTCCCGGGGCCTTGGTAAATATGGGGGTACCGCAGGGATCTATTCTTGGGCCTTTTCTCTTCCTCATTTACATAAATGATCTACCTTATCTTGTTAACAATAATCATGAGATAGTATTGTTTGCGGATGATACCTCTTTAATCTTTAAAGTAAACCGACGTTCTTTAAGTTATGACGATGTAAACAATACTCTATCTACTGTAGTACATTGGTTTAGTGCTAACAATTTACTGTTGAATAATAAAAAAAACTAAATGTATTAAATTTACAACTTCCTCCAATGTTAAACATGTAAAAACTGATGTACTTTTATATGGGGAAGCGTTGGACCCTATTGACTCAACTGTATTCCTTGGCATAACTATTGATGCCAAACTGCAATGGGGCCCCCATATTAATAGACTGGCGAGTAGACTTAGCTCAGCAGCTTTCGCGGTCAAAAAAATAAGACAGTTAACTGATGTTGATACGGCTCGCTTGGTATATTTTAGTTATTTTCACAGTATAATGTCTTATGGCATTCTGCTTTGGGGTAACGCGGCCGACATTAATACAATCTTTATCTTACAAAAGAGAGCTATTCGTGCAGTTTACAATCTGGGCCCCAAAGAATCGTTAAGAAACTTGTTTAAAGAGATAAAGGTATTGACTGTTGCTGCTCAATACATTTTTGAAAATGTTTTGTATGTCCATAAAAATAAGGATAAATTTTTAAGACATAATAATGTTCATGATATAAATACTAGGAACAAAAATAAATTGATCCTACCCACAAGTAGACTCCGTAAAATAAGTAAATCTTTTATGGGACAATGTATACGTTATTACAACAAAATTCCAGAAAACGTTCAAAATGCATCAATAGCTAAATTTAAAAAAATAGTAAAAGAACGTTTGTGTGTTAAAGGCTACTATAATATTAATGATTATTTAAATGATAACACACTCTGGTAATGAACTGATCGCTCCAGGCTCTTTCAATCGGAGTTCTTATATTGTATTTTAACGAATTTATGTCAAACTGCTTATATAAAAAAAAAGCAGCCCGCTGAGTTTCTTTCGCCGGTTCGTCTCAGTACAGTGGCTTTCTTTTCCGAACCGGTGGTAGTGTTTTGACTATCAATAAGTGAGTGTAATGCTCCTATGTTGAATAAATACATTTGATTTTGATTTTGATTTTGAATATACATAATGCTATCCACCACACATTGAACTTTATCTCAGTACACATTTTCGTTTTTATACAATTTGAAATGATCCAATATAGGATATAACTACTAAAGGATAACACAATTATCATCGCTTCTGATGGAACTTTAAACCACATACAATTTTTCATATTGATTCAAGTCATATTAAATTATCATACATTTTAAGTAAAAATTGAGAATAAATAAACACACAAGTTGAGAAATAAAATAGCACCATGGTCAGTATCGCTCCACATAGAACTAGAGTGATTAATTATAGGGTTAGGTCCTATAACGGAAATAGACAAAAAAGATATAAATGAAAGGACGGCCATGGTCAATTCCTAGGTAATGAATTCCTACGAAGCGCCGCGTCGTAAGGCTCATTTGGAATGTACTGATGAAGTTTTAATTATTTATATATGATACTAGTCTTGTCAGTCACTAGATATAATAAAACATACCTACATATAATAAAAATGTGTCTGATCGTTGTCTGTATATGGAAGATATTTGAGGAAAACTATTATTGGGGGGCTTTATCAACGCAGTAGAACCCAAAACAGTGATTATTAAAATTTTTGTCTGTATTTCTGTGCGTTTGTGCGCACTTATCTCACAAGCGGCTAAACTGATTTGGATACAACTTACACTAATGTATTGTAGTAAGCTTCACTTAACATTTAGTGTTTTATTTAAAAGTTATTTCAACTTAAAGTACCACATTGAAGATTTGTGCGATAAAATGCTACAGTTGAATTGAATGTTAGATATTAGTTACGTTATATATATATATATATATATATTAGTTATAGTTATATATAGTCTATAGTTAACTATATATTATGGTCTGTAAAATGATGACGATTGGAAAAAATCGGTCAAGTTCAAGTCGAACTCGCGCACGACGGATTCCCTAGGTACTTTTTAAGCACGATATAAATGTAGTATATGCGGTCAGAGCCGCGGGCGAAAAGCTAATCGAAAAATATGAACGTTATTTATTAACTACCGAAACAGCCTAAAGACTGTTTCGGTAGTTAATAAATAACACAACTTCTTTTCTCTTTTTTTCTTACAACTTACTCTTCTTTTCTTACAACTTAAAAGTTGTAAGAGCCTCTGAGATCATTGATAATATTCCGCTCATTTGTATGAAATGTATATATGTTGTCATTAGCATGTCACATTTAACTTGTCCAATGGTGCTATTTTATATTTATTGGTAACTAGCGACCCGCCCCGGCTTCGCGCGGGAGCTATGTATTATACATATAAACCTTCCTCTTGAATCACTCTATCTAGTAAACAAAACCGCATCGAGATCCGTTGCGTAGTTTTAAAGATCTAAGCATACATAGGGACAGACAGACAGCGGGACGACTTTGTTTTATATAATTTGTAGTGACTAACAACTAGTACGTTTCTCATGAACAAATTATACGATTACATTACCTATACCTTAAAATAAACATAATTTTTTTTGGTACTGTGAAAATTGGCAGTGGTTAGGAAAGAGATTTGCACGAAACTACTTTGTGGCTGAAACTCGCCAGAGTTTATTAGCTGCCAATAACATTGTAATGGATAAACGTTATACTCTCAGTTTGGTTCCAGGGACGCCCGCTGTGTCGATCATGAGACGTTCTCAAGCCCTTATACATTTGTAATAAATGTTAAGGCAGATAAGGTACTGAGCTTTGCCAGACAGTCTATTAAATTTAATGTTGCTACTGATGCCAATTGGATTACATGTAGTCTTTTGGAATTCTGTTTACAATAAGATATTTTCATTATTTTCAAATAAAATTCAAAAAGCTAAGACTTGCTACTAAGTAAAAAATTACAGTGCCCGACATTTTTATGGAAAATATACCTAAGTTATTCCGTAAATATCAACAAGAAACCTTAAAAGGCTACGATGATTGGTGACGGTGCTATCGATTGAGCTGTTTCGTCAGTAAATAAAGGTTGGTTAATATCAATAGTGTGTTAACCAATAAAAGCTTTCAACACGCAGCATCGCTAGAGGGCACATCAACGAATACTTGACGGCATATCCATTTGAAGCGAATTTATTGTCTATCATCCCATAAGATAATTGGAGTTATTTCATCATCATGATCCTCCAGCAATTATTCCACATAGGTTATAGGTAGGTTCGGCACAATATAAGAAATCAGAATCTTTTCATGTAGAAGATTATTTTTTTCGAAAAGCAGTAAAAATCGATGCTTGGCGCAGTTTAAAGTTTAATGATTTAACCTTTAAACCCAATAAAAGCATTATAATATTTCGAGCTTAGTCTATTATCATTATATTTTTGCATGGATATAAAATATTAGGTAAACTAGACCTTTTATAAAATCTGGAATACCTATACAACTTTAAAGTCATAAGTAAAAATGTATTAGATATATGAAATACATTAAAATAAAAAGTATTGTTACACCGTTAGCAAAATTTGTTTTTGCACACAAATTTTGCTAACGGTTAACTATTGCTAATCGGTCGTGAACTAGAATAGTTACTAAGTATCACATGATGAAGCAATTTCGCAATGTAGCCTTTCAACTTTAGTTCAAACTAATATTGATGGAATTTCGCGTCCAACTTTAAACTTTACAATTCTTAAGTGGCTGTAAACCGATTCTAATACAAATTACTTCATGATTGTTTTGTTAGCAATCGTAATAAAATTACGATTTGTGATTATATCCATATCTAGTATAATTTTATTCCGTTCTTTTAACGGATTTCATTTCTTAACCCTTTTTGGGAACATTGCCATTATTCAATTCATGTTCCAAAAGAACCTCTTAAACTTCTAAACTCCATGGCGCAGTTGCCATGGTATTTAGAATTGTAATCGTGGTATTTAGATTTAGAAATGTACGCATCAAACAGATCAACATAACTTTCATGTCATATATAGTAGTAAACAGTAGGATATCAGAAATCTTTATTAGCAATACCAAACGGCCAAAAAATATAGATCACATAATGTCATATGAAGCTTATGATTCGCGAGCGCAAATTGAATATTCTAAAGCGGTACCAGCCACAGTATTTGCGTATTTTAGGTCAATAGTACTAACGCCAAACATCCGCAGATTGCAATGTTAATCTGATCGTATACAACCTTCTGTTATAATAGCCTATTATTCAACGCAACGCAAGTATAAGGACCGGAGGATTCGCGAGAATTGTTTCCAGTCAACGTTGCGTGTAGGTTCGTTGAACAATCGCACATCCGTTTGTCTGTCGCCGCGCAATACAAGGTCTCATTCGCAATAATTGTCCTCCGTGCGAATCTTAACATACTCCAAGCAAAGGTGCCTCTGCCCTAATATAACCCAGCGCGAATAGCTACTCGAACTGAATGATAATAATTAATATCTATAATGAGAGGACGAGGCTAAACGAGGATGAAAATAATAATTCAAACGATTTAACGAGTTTTATCTAATAATTACATTATGAAGTATTAAAAAAATACGTTTCTAGACACCTTTGGAAATTTTAACTTTGCTCAATTTTGCGATGGTTAATTATTTACATACATTATATCTCCCGAGAGGGATACATTAATATTAGCACTTCTCGTTATTTTTTTCTAAAATGCATCAAAACGTAACTGCAATAAAGTATTTTACAACAAAAATATTCATATTTCAGGACAAATTTACATAACACTATCTAGTCCCAAAACTATAAATATACTATTTCGTAAATAAATAGATGACATAGATACATATAACACCCAGACCCTAGAAATACACTATGTTCATCTACAATTATTATTCCAGTAGGAGGGATCGAAAAATCTCTAAAGTGAAATTTCCGCTATGCAATACTACGCCTTTCGGGTCGTCAATAACCTTTGGCGCAGTTGCTAACGTATTAAGGCTTCGGTGTCAGGGGACATAGGTTCGATCCCAACATGGGCAATTATATTTGCGACCCACAGATAGTTGTTTCGCATCTGGGTGTTTGGCCGCGTGAAATTTTAGTTTGTAAAACGTCCTTGCATACAACACAGGATAATGTTATCCTAAAGTGAGGGCAACGTTTTTCTTTTTAAATAAAAAAAATAAATAAATAAATAACCTTTAATACCTCAGTGACAAACGCGCTAATAAAAAAACGGGTAAATAAACGGTTGACGGCCGACGATTTTGGCGTATTGTCGCTTCACGCGCCAGAACATGGCCGTTCGCTTGTCTCCAATTTTACGTAACGCATACGTAAAGGTTGTTCATTGGGATTACATAAAAGTGATTTTCGGCGTGCTCTTGCAACATCTTCTGTAATTAGCACAATTGTTTAAATCGCCTGGGTAGCTTCAATGTCACGACCATGATAGAAGATGTTCGACGGGTACATGACCTGGCACGCGAGGGTCGGCATCCATTAACGCTGCACTAAACGTGTGCCCGTGTAAATTATTACTCTGCTATTTGTATTTATTCGTGCCGTCGCGTCTGTTACGTGAGGTCGTTGTTATACAGCCTTGCGTCGTTTGACTGCTTCTTACGGGGACGACAATGTGATTAGATTGAGCGTATAAACTAACTTGTTTGCTTGATGTATATTCACAAACACGGGTTATTTGTTGATCTATCCTATGCTGTTTAAAAACAGTTTCAAGTATCAGTTGAAAGTGGAAGGATTAATATTATGCTTAAAAAACCAAAATAATAACGTTTACTGAATTTATATGTTATCTGTGGTCTTGACGAAATGAATTTGAATGAAATTCTTTTGGTGTATTTTGAGTGGCTTAATTGTTGGAATGTCAGACATGTGGCCTAAAATCTCAGGTTCGCATATGTAACCATGAGTCAGTTTTTACATGTCTGTTTGTACTTATTTGGTAACCGGTTATTTATTTTGCACGGATGGTGATTACACCATTGGGTTCAGTGGCGCCGACTGTTGTGCTGTGGGTTCGAAGCCCACGAGGAACAAAAATTTGAATTATCCACAAGATCAGAGTTTGGCCGTACACTGTATCCGTCATTTCATGTTTATCCCCCGCGAGTCAGGAATTACGCCCTTAGTGCAGGAGTATTTTAAATAGAAGTAACGATAACAGTTTATCTTCAGGACCGAAGGAATTCTCCTACCGTGGCCACAACTACTTCTACACCGGGCATGTGCCCGCACTGGCTAACAAGAAGTTTGACTGGCTGGACGGACGCAACGTTTGCCGGGAGTATTGTATGGACCTAGTTTCGATGGAAACTCAAGAAGAAAACAATCTTATCTTTAAATTGATCCAGCAGAGTAAGTAGCGTCTGTCACTATAAAGAATTTTAAGAAAGGTAAATGTGAAAACATGATAAAAAATTTAAGATATTCTTAACTTTCTTCTTAACACAGAACTTTCACTTATTTTTTGACTGTATACTTTTATTTTCAATCTTTCATACGATATTGATTAGAGAGTATTTACTAATAGCCTTCGCATATAGATTTATTTAAACGTATAATATAATAAACAAACGTGTGCGGACTTTCACAAGCTGCATTTTACTTTCTGCGGTTAACAACTGCTATTGTTTCTGTCGAAGTAGCACTTATCTTTATTTGATATTTTACCACCTGGTTGGGCTTGGTATTTTAAGCTCTTTGTTCCATTACAGACGATGTACCTTACATATGGACGTCTGGCCGACTCTGCGATTTCAAAGGCTGCGAGACTCGCAAAGATCTTGAACCCAAAAACATCTTGGGATGGTTCTGGTCCGCAAATAGAGAAAAGATGTCGCCTACAAATCAAGTGTGTACACTATAGATGATTTATGTATAATAGTTTAAGTAATTCAAAGCTAACTTTAAACAGAGTCAAAAAAAATCTTACCAATTACATGAATAATACATATTAGTAAATTGACGTTTGGTGAGATATTTAATTTTTTTTATGTGAGAAGGTGGCAAACGTGCTGGCGGTTCACCTAATGTTAAGTGATAACCGACACCCATTGTCTTGTGCAGCACCCGTAGGGTTACAGATGCGTTGCCACCTTTAAATAAAGTGGGCCCAGGTGACCTCACTCACCAGATGAAACGCAGAAGTACAATACTTCCACTTCACGGCGGTCTTCGGTGAGGTCGTGGTACTTACCCGGACAGACCTGCGACCATACGTGCAACAGCGAAGATTCGAGTGCTCGCACCACAGTGATTACCACAGATATTTCATGCATTGATCCCGTCCCTCAGATTCCCAACGGCTGGGGATACAACCCATGGTCTCAAACGGGTCACAAGAAACAGCGCCAGCCTGATAACGCCGAATTCGACATCAACGGAACAACGGAGTCCTGCTTGAGCATCCTGAACAATGTCTACAACGATGGAATCGCGTGGCACGACGTCGCATGCTACCACGAAAAGCCCGTAGTGTGCGAAGACTCAGAGGAGCTTCTCAACTACGTCGCCAGCACCAACCCGGGAATACGTCTGTGATCATTCCAACCCAAATACGTTAAATCCCATCCCATAATGAAATACTGTATAGATTGTCATTAGACGATATCACATTCAATTATGACACCTAAATAAATAATACACATATATTTTGAGAAGTTCTAAAGAATCACGGCATTAATGTCTCTATATGTGGTATTGTCTCCACCGTAAATTACGCTGAAAACCCTTCTAACTCTGTGACCATCCTGTTTTCTTATTATTTTTACAATGATATCCACGACTACGACAACATTTTTTGGCATATTTGCAACATTTTCGGAACTTGCCATAAAACCACGATCTCCCATTTGCACTGCCCGAATCTATCGTACTACTGTACAGAAAATTTTTAATTTAAGGTTTACGTAAGTTTAACTAAGTTTATTTACTTTAGGGAAGAATTTCTATTTGTATATAAAATAAACTCTGAAAATAAAAGGTTTTTATTTAAGGTAATTACCACCACGACTAACAAGAAAAGTTTTATTAACGAAATACAAAACCGACTTCAGATTCTCACTCACTATACATTTTACATTCGACTAGCGACCATACCCGGATACCCGGTTACGCACGGGTGAAACTGTTAACAAAATACTAATATTATAACAGATGGAGCCATTGTCACCTCTCCATTAGACTCATTCTGTAACACATTTCTATCACAAAATACCACAAGTGTCCTTTAAAATATCACATAACTTGAGCTATAATTATAAATGGTAGAAATTAACACACGAAAAACAGAAATAAGTCTTCGTATTTCGCATTTATCGCACATAGAGACAAACCTCGTTTCTTCGAAAAATTTAGTTTGGATAGAAATATAATAAAAATAAAGTATCGAATAACTAAAGATCAAAACACATTTTAAGTTGACTAAACTTAAAACTACTTTTGTGAGGGTCTTCTTATACAGCATCCAACAGATTTTAAATCATGATCTTTATAAAGTTCACATATATTTAGATCACGAATTTTATTTATTAAAACATTTAAGACGTTGAATTCTTGGCCATGCACACGAACGTACATGTTTGCGTATTTCTTAATTTCTTCGTGAGTCAATTTGTATTCTTCTTTATCTTTTACGTAATTATATTTTACATCTAAAACAGTGCTGCCATCTTCTGAATACTTTTCGTACTCCTGTTCTTTGTTTAGTTCCGATATTGTAGCACAGATGGCAGAATACTGTTCTAAAGATGTTTCCAAAGTCAAAGTAGGTAGTTTAGAAGCAAAGTCTGGCTTCAGGGAGCAAGCATAATGTTTTCTACGATTTATATAGAAACGAGATAAATCTGAAACGAAATTAAAAAAATTATAAGCATATTAAATAAATACTTTGCACAGGAAAGCTCCAAATAGATTTTATTACTTTTCATAAAATCCTCCTTATTTTTAGCTAAAAACACAGGCCATCCTTCTAATTCATCAGCCATGTTTAGAATTTGATTATCAAAAGTTTCAAGATTCAAATCTCCAAGAATCTGTAATTAAATCAAAATTATAAATTTTAGTAAAAATAAATTTCTAATGTTTCAAGAAAATTATTTAATTAATAAAAAATAATTCAAATATCTTCATTTTTGTACCACATCATTATAGTTTGTAGATAACAAAGCTAGTGGCGAAAAAAATGTTCTTTTAGCATTTCTTATTAGAGACTGTGCTTTTTCAGTAACTCCTTTGTTCCATTGGGTAGTCATAGCATTTTTAATTCTGCAATCATGAGTGAGAATCTACAAAGAAATAAATAAAATAATAAACACATAATTATGTAACCATTTAATTTATTATAATATTTAAAACATGGAAGTTTATTATTTTAAGTATGATTTATGTACACTGAAGTATTAATTAGAAATTTGACTTTATTTAATTAATTAAAGAAAAAAAAATAAGTTTTTCATAAAAGTAAAATAAGAAAAGTTTATGATAGTCTCATTCATAATTATTATATAATGACTAGCTGACCCGGCAAATGTTGTTTTGCACTATAAATTATTTGTAGGGTAGAAAAATATTTATGGGGTGGACCACCTTTAACATTTAGGGGGATGAAAAATAGATGTTGTCCGATTGTCCACCCTGGCCGATATGCACAGAAAATTTCACGAAAATCGGTCAAGCCGTTTCAGAGGAGTTCAATTACAAACATTGTGACACAAGAATTTTATATAGTAGATTACTGTACTTTCTAGGTACATAAATTGTGGTATTTCAACACCCATAATTTCTCTGAATTATAGTCAGTTTTTTTTTTAGGTACTTGCAAAAATATTCCATTATATTTAAATTGCATGCAACCATTGCACTCAAAATTTATTAACATTTAGAATAAGAATCAGACCTATTGATATTTGTCAAGCTTAAGTTTATCTAACCAACATTCATTAAAGCTAATATTCATTAAAGAAGATAATGATAAATTTAATTATTTATAAGTACATTAATTTCATAAGACACAATAAGTAATAAAATAATTATTTGTAAGTTTACTTGCCTTATCCACTGGAGTAACTCCATGAAGACTGGCTTCAAAAACTTTACTCGGGTATCTTCTATAATTTAGGGGCAAATCAACAAAGATTGTTTCATTGCTTGGTCTTAAGAAAATACCATAATCAACCAACCAAATTAAAAATTTTGTCTCTACAGACACTACACCACGGGTCCATTTATTTTTCCACATTACTGCAATATACTATAAAAGAATATTAAAGTAAAATAAAAATAAAATAGAGGCCTTGTCAGACCCTATAAATAAAAACGAACTTATTCTTAAGTTTTGATTTATGGCAATAATCACTATTATAATAGGATAGTGACGGTTTCAGACACAATATTTCTCTAAATGAATATCAAGTTTTGTTCAAGTTACTAATACAAAGAAAGTTATAAGCTTTCTTTGCATTTGTAATGTAAGGTACGTTCATTTTAGGACACATTTTGGGACTCACTGATATTTTTAATTTGACTCTAAGATTATAAAATAATAATCGGTTTAGAGCGACTTCTCTATCAATTAAAAATATCTGTAGTTATATAAATTGTTGCGTAAAGTTGTAAATATTTATCAGCATGAACGCCTCATGAAATCTATTTAAATTAAAAAGTAACTGTCTTACTTGGCCATGATCAACATCCGAAATTTCAAACTTCGTTTTGCTCGATTTGTTTTCGGTTGTGTTATCAGGAAGGCAAACCGTTTCTACGTTTTCACTTTTCGGCACACAGTGAAACGAAAAAGGGTTCACAAAAGTAGTTACAATAACTTCCATCTTCAGTAAGGATAAATTTAAAAATATATTAATTTTCTTTTAATTTAACGTAAATTAACCACCATAAGTTAAGTAGGGTAGGTACAGGGTTGGATTTAGATATGATGAAAAAGTAGTACGAAAAATTTAAAAGAATAATATTTGTAAAAAAATTATACTACACTTTATAATTTGATTTTAACAGGTTTACTTCAATATTAGTTGTATCTTTAGAATTTTTTTACATATCCTCAGTAGGATTAAAATCAGTACAAATTACATTTCACCATCTTTGATAGCGTCACAACACACTAAAATGGCATCTATGGATTATGTTTATTCCTTAACATAATTTAGGAAATAATAAATTAATCGTACTTTTAGACATCAATGACCTCTATTAACTACTTCATAGTGCAATATGCATAGTTACGCTTCAACAAGCTAAATAAAGAAAAAGAAATTAATTTCCGTAATAATATACATTAAAAATATTGACTTAACTTAGTTTATAGTATATAGTACGAAGCATGATATTTCCTACTGGGTACACTTGAAGGCGTCAGCAAAAACATAAATATGAAGATTGAAGTGTATAAAATAGATTACGAGTGCGTGGAGGTTTTATTAAATTTACTGCACTTGAAGGCGAGCAACATAAAATTTGAAGTGTATAAAATAGATTACGAGTGCGTGGAGGCTTTCAGGGGGCGAGTGAAGCTTGCTAACATAGGTCTTTTATCCCCAAATTTAGGGCGGAAATATGCATATTGGGCTCTTTTACGGGTCCAAAAAAATTTAGGGTCATTTTTAGAGCCATGAATAATATTTCATCACAATTTTGACCACGGAATAGAAAAAACAAAACAAAACCTGTTTTCTTTATTCCGTGATTTTGATTGAGTACAATGAGTAAAAAAAAATGTCTTTTAATAAATATTTTAATAAGATTTTAATAAATAATTAATGAAAAGTGAGCCGTGATAGCTCAGTGTCCGGGCGCTCGCCTTTAATTTAATATACTCGAGGAACCTGAGTTCGATTCCCGGTGCCAGTAACAATGAATTATTCAATTTTATGGGCTGAATTATCACTCAGCGGTGAAGGAAAATATGGTGAGGAAACTTGCATATTTTCGAAATAATAAAAAAAAAATTTCGAAGATATATGAAGTCCGCCAATCCGCAGTGCTGCCGTTTGGTGGACTATGCCTCTGTATAGACATTTTACTTTACATTAATTTATGAAATGTTAATTAATAAAATGAATGAAAAGTAATTAAAATTAATCAATATTTTTCTTGCCTTAACAAAAAGTAAAACTCATTTAAGCAATATCTTTGATTCAAAACAGGGTTTTTATTGGGGGCTTTGAAAATTGCATTTCATGATTTTAGGGCCATATTTTTTTAGTAATTGGCAGCACTGGGGTAACTAAGGGTCAAAGCAAATTAGAGAGCGAAAAGTGATAAGTTTATCTAGTAGGAAGGGCCCTGCTGAGACTATAGCTTCATATAATTACGAATCTGTGGAAAAGCTTGTTTCCATGAGTTACATGAACGGATAATGTTGCGAACTTTTTTGGGTTCCGTCCCAAAGTCCTGTCCGTCTGTCCGTCTGTTACACTCACCAGTTTGTATTCCATGAACCGTGATAGTTAGACAGTTGAAATTTTCACAGATAATGTATTTCTATTACCGCTATAGATAATACTAAAAAACAGAATAAAAAT